GGCAGGCGCGTTCTAATTTTAAAAAATGTGTCACTCTCCAAGCTGCGCAGCCCTTAATCAGGCAATTACTTTATGATGCCGTATAGTCAAGGGGGAGGAGGGAGAGGGAAAAAACCACCAACCCTTGAAATCTCAAACAATTTCTTAGGAGAATTAATTTGTAAATGTTTGACTTGAGCTCAAGGATGTCTTTTGTTTCCATTTCTAAATGACAAAGGGACACAAAAGAAAGGTAATAATTTGGTATTAATCAATCCTCTTCATTAAAATTAGCTCCCCAAACCGAGGGTGTCATGGAAACAGGGAATGTCGGGAGAAGGGCTTTGGGGCCAGACAAGGAGTGGGGACAGGGCCGTTGTGCAGGCAGGGCCCGGGGACTGGGGACAGGCCAGACTGGGTGTGCTGGCCCTGGAAATAGCTTCCAGCCCCTGTTCCCGGCCTTTTCAAACTTCCCGTCCTTTTGTACCCAGAGCAATCTGCTCAACACTCCAAGCAGCACTCCAACTGCTCAGAGCTCCAAGCAGCAGAACTGAGACTTGAACCTGGGTCTCCCGACTCCAAAGACCCTGCTCTACCGTGGCCCCGTCTTTCCATCCCTGAGCACCCTTCACTGCTGCCGAGGCCTGGGGCAGGGCCAGGGAGAGCCCGCAGCTCTGGCGGGGCTGCCGAGAGGCCCTCACAAGTAGCTAAAGAACTTTCTCATTCCCGCCCAGGTTCCTGCAAGGACGTGCCAGCCGAGGACACCCTGGGCGGGAGGGCATGGGGCTCCCGGCGGGCAGATGAAGACGGCTGAGGACCTTCTCTCTAGCAGCCGGAGCTGCCAGGGGGCCCCATGTTTCATCCCGAACCGCCTGTTCTCCTGCGAGGCCTGCGTTCCAAATCTTTGAGCTTCTGCCTTTCCCCTCGGCCTCCCGGGCTGTGATGGATTAACACGCCCTGTCCTGGCTGACGTGTGAGTCGTCAAACCTGAGAACTCCCAGAGGCTGGCGGCTGCAGCTCCCCCACAAGCTGGTGGAGGGGAGGGGGGAGCATCCATAGCGGGAAAGGCAGGGGTTGGGGTGAGGGGGTGGGTCTGGGGGCGGCCGGTTTTCCAGACTCTTTTGCTCTATCCCCTGTCCCTGACCCTCTCTCTCTCCAGCCCAGGCATTGAGAGGTTTCCCCTTCCTCTTCCTCCCCCCAGCTCTCTGCGCCGGGGAGCAGTGCGTGCGTACGCCCCGTGCGGCCACCATGGGCGGTGGTGGGGATGGGACGGGATCGTAGTTGGCCAAGATAACAGTTTCATCGGGGGAGGCGGGGGGCGGCAGGGAGCTCTCACTTGTGAGCATGTCTTATCCCTGTCGCAGGATCACACATGCTACAACAGTGACCCTGCCACCTGGAGCCTGAACAGCCCTCTTTATCTGCTACAGCACAGGCGTGTCTTGAGACAGCACGAAGTCCACAGGACCCACAAAAATCTTCCCGCCAAAGGATGGTTGGCTGCTGGTCCCATGAAAGGCTCACACTCGTGGGCAATGGGGTGCCGTGGCCTAGGCAGTCCCCAGAGCACCCCAAGGCCTCTGGCGAGTTGAAATGGGAAGCTCGATGCAAGTGACTGCTCCATGTCAGGCTTTAGGCTTTGGGAAGAAAAGCAACCAATTTTTAAGCACCTACTGTATACAAGGTACTCAAATCTCTGCAAGGTAGATATTATTTTCCCCATTGTGCAGATGAAAAAAACCGAGTCTCAGAGAGCTTAACTCACTTGCTCAAAGCTGCCCAGCTTGTAAGTGGCAGTACAAGGACTCAAACCTAAGTCCCGCCTGATGGCACGCCCCATTCTTTGACAACTACATCCTCTTGCTTCCCAGTGCTGAGGCCTGTTTTCTCGTCTGCTGGAAGGGGCACAACCTCGTGACACCTTAACGGGCGAGAGCTTTGGAGGGAAAAGTTCTTGGTCTCTTTCTTCTGGGCGTTGGGATGAGGGGGACTCTTGGCAGCCTGGGGCTCCCCCGTGGTTACCATTCAGACATCTGTCTGTCGCTTGGCTGTCACGGCGAGTGTCTGCAGGAGGCAGTGCGTGGACTTGTGCTTTCCATCACCCCAAGTGGTGTTTGTTGTGCCCCGACTGTGCGGGGCGCGGTGACAGGTGCTGCCGCGGTGAGCGCGGCTCACCCGGTCCCTGTGGGCGGACGTGTGCAGTCTCGTTGGGAATGTGACGTCTGAGCAAGCAGTTGAGACAGGGTATCTGTCAGGGCGCAGCGCTGTGTTTTCAGGAGGAAGGGATTTAATAAAGGGGATTATGTGTTTATAAAACCACCGGAAGGTCTGAAAAAGCACGTTTAAGGCTGAGCTTCTGGGAACGGAGCTTCTTGGAGCAGTGCAGGCTGGACCCTGAGGTGCTGGCACCACCGAGGCCACCCCTGTGCCCCACCAGACTCGGAGCCCCCACCTCTGCTGCCACAGCCCCACGCAGGCGGCGGTGGTGGAGGGAGCCTAGCACTGCGATCGGTGATTAGGGAGCAGCTCCAGGAGCCTTCTCCACCCCCACTCTGCCCGGACACCCAGGATACTGGCAAATGGACCCAGACATTTGCTGCAGGCAAACCCCAGCTACCCCCACCAGCCTGAGGGCCGGAAGCCCACCTCGTGTCTGCCCCCTCAATGTCATGCAAGCCCACCCTGTGTGTGGGAACTTCATTTTATCCTGAATCCTAGCTGCAGAGAGAACTGGGAGTTGGGATTTTTGCCTCCCATACCATGAGATACAGGAGGAAACAGAGAAGGGGAATGAATGCTTGTGCCGGCAGGTGCTATTCAGAGCCACTGTAAGGGAGGTGGGGGACGAGGGCCCACAGATGCTGCGGGAGTATGAAGACTAGGTGCATCCAGACTGCAGGGTCAGAGGCAGCTGCTCTGCGGAAGGTGCTGTCCAAGCTGGGATCTGAATGGTGCAGATGGAATATTCCAGGCCAAGTGAACAGCGTGTGCAAACGCCCAGAGGCTGGGGGTGGAGGGAAGCTTAGCATGTCTGTGATAGTTTGGACTGCTGTTCTGCCAATGTTTACCACCCCTTCCGTGTGGGTGGTATATACTTCCCTGCCCCACTGGTGTTGGGCTTGGCCAGACATGCTCAGAGAGCTGGTTCAGCATGGTTTCTTGCATTCTGGTGATCTGCATGAGAAGAATCTCCCTGAACGCCAGGAAAAAACAAAACAAAACAACAATAAAAAACCCCAAGTGAAGCAGAAATGAGCCCAACCTGCAGCCCAGAGCTAAACCCAGACAAACCCTGCCCAAAGCAGAAGCGGTCAGCTGAGCCCAGCCGAGACCATCCGAGCCCCAGCCAACCTGCAGACCTCAAGCCTGAAGGTGCCTGCTGGCTGTCGTAAGCCACCGAGCTTTGGGGGTGCTTGTTACGCAGCACTTGCGTGGCTGTAGCTGACTGATGTAAAATCTGAACTATTGGAAGAAAAAGTCCACCCCGGCTGGGATGGAGAGAATAGTGGGGAGACGGTGTAGGAGGAGGTTGCAGAGCTGGCGGGAGTTTGCAGGGCGTCTTAGACCCTCCTGAAGACATTGGGAACATTCCCATTTCACACAGGGCCGAGCCAAGGCCGAGAGGGCTAGGGTGCCAGTGGCCCATGGCGGGCGAGGGGCAGAGCTGGGGCCTTCGGGACCCCATGCACGTGCCCGCCCTCCTTACTCCGGGTCTTAGCGAAGACACCAGCAGCCCCTCCACAGCAGCATGGAGTGTGAGCCGGTCTATCTGATTACCCAGCATCATCTGGTGTGCTCGTGTCGAAACCCCCATGTGCAGATGGGGAAACTGGGGCTCCATGTCCTGCTCAAGGCCACCTGCTAGTTTGTCTGACACGGTGTCCCTGACCCTAACCATTGGGCTCCACTGCCCCTCGGCAGCCTGGTCTCCTGGGCGCCTTCTCCGCTGTGCTGAGCTGAGACCGGCAGAGGGGGGTGTTGGCCATGGGCACCAGCTTCTAAGCTGAGGCTCGCTGTGACTCTGCTCTCACTTGGGGCTGCATTGACACCTCCGGCAGGTGACAGGTTTGCTCAGTGTGCGCCTGGTGACTGCAGCCTCCTTTGTTGTCAGGCATCACCATCACTGAGATGCCTGTGGAGAGATGTCCTTCCCAGGAGGGGCTCATGAGTGGGCTTAGCCCAGGTGTAATGGGAAGTGACAAGGGCAGAGGAGCTCAGGGGAGAAGGGAGGGGGAAGGGAGGAGGGACGCAGGCAGCCGGAGGAAGGGGGAAGAAGGACCTCGGAAGCCCAGGTGAGGTCTGCGGCTGCCTGGCCAGCTCAGGGCCCTGCGGAGCTGGGAGCCGCCCCCCCAGACTGGGCTCTGCAGAGCCACAGGGCCTCCGGGACAGCAGCGCTTGCTCTGCAGACCAGCGAACCCCCGGACATGGTGTCCCCCGCAGATCCTCGCTCTGTGCTTCCGGGGTGCGTGGTGGCAGGTCGTTCCCCAGCCCGCTCGTCCGGGGTGAGGCCATGTGATAGCTCCGGGCAGTGAGCTCTGGGCCGCCATGCTTCACTCCCCAGCGGAGTGTCTGGGGGGGGACCCTCAGGCACCCTTTGCCCCTGCCGGGAAGCTCCTGTCGAGACGGGTTGTGGGTGGCTGCAGGGAGCAAACCTTCCGGACAAACTGTAGGGACCGAGAGTGTGAGTGAGAAACACACCTGCATTGTCCAGAGCCGGGCGCACGGTGGAGAGTTTTGTTGCTGCGGCGTAGCTGGGTCTAGCCTCCCAGGTAACAATGAAATGAGAATGGAAATGGAAATGGAAATCCTGCCTATTTCCCAGAGAGGCACAGAGCACAGTGTCTCAGCGAAGCAGCTGAGAAGTCAGAAAGAAAGAGAGAAAGAAAAGGGAGGGAGGAAATGGAAGGAGAGAAGGGATGAAGGAAGGAGAGAAGGAAGGAAGGAAGGAGAGAAGGAAGGAAGGAAGGAAGGAAGGAGAGAAGGAAGGAAGGAAGGAGAGAAGGAAGGAAGGAAGGAAGGAAGGAGAGAAGGAAGGAAGGAAGGAGAGAAGGAAGGAAGGAAGGAAGGAAGGAAGGGAGGGAGGGAGGGAGGGAGGGAGGGAGGGAGGGACTTGTTTTCTTTGGTTTCATTCTAGGCTTCCCAAACCCACAGGCCAGCCAGCCGTGCTCCCGCGTTTGTGAGCGAGCACGCCGCTGGAACACCTCTGGGAAAGGCCAGTCTGTGCTCCTGGGACAGCAGGGAGGCAGCAAGAATCTTCCAGCAGGCTCTCCCAGGCCCAAGGGGCAGCTCTGGAAGATGCTCATGCCAGACATCCTCACGGGCAAAGCCGAGGAGGGCAGCGTGGGGAAACAATTTGAGCCCGCAGATGGGAGCCAGAGATCCGCTCATGAGCCCAGCTCCACCAGCGGCTCCTCCTCCGTGCAGATTCCTCTCCTCTCTTTAACCCTCATGTCCGTCCTCTGTGTGCAGGCTCACGGGCGGTGCAGGCTTGCGGGAGGCGGGGGTGCAGGCTCTCGGGGGGGTGCAGGCTCGCTGTGGGGGGGTGCCTGAACTGCACAGTGGAGGTCCCAGCTGTGCGGGCCGCTGTGTGAAGGGCAGCCGCAGCCATGCACGGAGCATGGAGCACAGAGCCAGGACACGTCAAACCGCCAGAGATAGATGGCGGGTTTGGCACGCATGACTCTGGCGGTCTGTAGTGGACCCACAACCTGGCAGTCTCACTAATTACCCCTGGGGCACCCCCGTCTCCCCCATGAGGGTGTCTGGCTCCACGTGGGTTTCCAGACTGAGGTTCCCAGACACCCCACGCCCTGCAACCCCTGGATGTGGGTTCTGCCTCTGGGATTCTCTGCCCCGGACGTGCCACTGGCCAGAACCCACGGAGACCGGCCCTGCTCTTCCCGCCTCCATGCAGACCTCTGGGCTCAGCTCTCCCGGATGTCCTGGCTCTGCCATCTCCCTATGGGCCCCCGGGGGTCCTGTTTCCACATCCCCATGAACGCCAGCCTCTGCCCCCAAGGCCTGTCCCCTGCCTCTGGCCCTACAAGGTTCCAAGCTGTGGACAGACGCCCCCATGTCCCGTTGGGGTCTGACAATACACCGGCTCAGAAATGTCGCTTTTTCCTCTGAGCCTCAAATATCCCAGACATGGGGGCGTGGACCATGCGAGTCGTTCTCAAATGATTTTGCTTTTAAGCCATGGACTCTTTCCTCTGATTGGCATCTTGGACGGGCCCTGACGTGCACAGCAGGTGAGAGCAGAGTGCTCCGGGCGGGGGCGCACCCGGAGGGAGGTCTGGGGCTCCGCTCCCCACCCGCCCCCGCTCTCGCCTCCACAACACCCACGGCAGTCCCCAGCTTCTCCGCGCACAGTCTGGAAGTCACTGGGTTAAAGCCACGTGGGGGTGGAGCGCCCCCAGCTCGCAGCAGGCCGCAGCCCAGTGGGAGGGACCCCAACACTGCCTCACCTCCCCAAGCACCCACACCCTGCCTTCCTGGAGTCTGCCCCCTCCCCTTTCGGGACGGCCCCCCCAACAGGGGCTGCTGCTGGAGGTGGGGCACAGCAGGACCATTCCCGGCCTGGCTGGGGCTCCCCACTTTTGCTCACTCCCTCGCCGGCCAGACAGGGCCCGAGCTGCACCCGCCCCGCAGGGTCCGGGCAGGGTCCGGGCAGGGGCTGGGCCCCCTCCGCCCTGGGGACCAGCATCGCCTCGCAGGCCTCGCGCCTCCAGGAGCCCCACCCGCACCAACCCCGTCCTGACCTGCCAGCTGAAGAGGGGAGCTCATTAGCTGCAAATTAGCGTTACTATTCAACTCAAGTGCCCTGTCAGGGCTGCACAAGGGGGCCGTCAGCCCTGCTCTTGGCCTGCCCGTCCTTGCTCGAGATTTTCACAATCTCCGAAGGCGTTTCCTTGATGCAGCGACAACGACGACGGGGTGGCCATCAGAGGGTGCGCAGGGCCCCCCACGGGCCTCAGCCACCTGCCTCCCCGCCGCCAGAGGGGGAGCCCGAGCTGGGGTGGGGTGTGCAGAAACCTCCCCCAAAATAGCCACAAACCAGAGTGGCAGCGCCCATCCTAATCTGCCCCTTCTTCCGGAACCAGGCCAGCCTGGCGGAGGAGCCCCCTCCCGGCTTCAAGGGCCTCCAGGAGCCCGGGTGTGTCGGGCGCTGCACTCGGGTCCCCGAGACGCTGACTGGCCCCCCGGCTCCTGCTGGAGCCCGTTAGTGGCTTCCTTCCGCAGGTTGCCCGAGATTTGAGAGTTCACAGGTGAGGGAACCGCCTTATTTTGCTTAACAGAGCCCCCTCCATCAGACGGAACTCCCTTGGGAGCGAGTGACAGGAAAACGGCTTCGCACCGCCCCAAACAACCGCCACCCCGGTGATCTGTTGGGCCACGGAGCACGCAAGTTTGGGGTGGAGCTTCGGGGCCGGCTGGGTCCAGGTGGCTGTAAAGATATCGTCAGGACAACATAAAAATATGGATACTTGTATTTATATAGAACACACTCAGTTCCCGATATAAAATACTGACCTGTCTCTCTCCATTGCTTCCCTCTCTGTCAGTTCTACTCGCAGCCTCTTCCTCAGCAGTGGCAAGATGGCTGCCGGAGCCTCCGGGCCTCGTGGTGGGAAGACGCTTCCTCTTGCCCAGCACTGACTCCCGTGGGCTCCCATTGGCCCAGCCTGGGTCACGTGCCTATCTCTGAACCAATCAATGTGGCCAGGAGAAAGAGTTGCTCTGATTGGACAGGCCTGGATCACGTGCCCGTTCCTGGAGCAATAAAGGAGTCGGGTTCACTCAGCCACCTGGCGCGAGAGGGGAGGAGGGTTAGGCACCTGGGGAGGTGAGGGAGCTGCTGCCGGAAGTAAGGGAGGTGCATTGTGCACATCCGAACACTTACATGTATTGGGGGCTTGGGTGGCTCCGCCTCGCTCCCACCCTCTGCCACCACCAGCTCGCGGCTCCTGAACCCGGAGCTGGCCGAACAGCCGGACGGTCGCCTCGGCGGCCGGGAAACCACAGACCCAAGTGGCTCCGCGCGGCCCTCACCTGAGCCCCGTGCCCCTGCAGCCTCCCCGGAGCCGTCCGGTCTGAGGACGGGGACCCGCCACCCCTGGGGCCCCCTGTGTCCGCTAGACGGAGAGCTCCTCGAGGGCAGGACTTTGCTCACCTCTCTGATCCCAGGACGCAGGGGGACGCCCAGCACCTTTCGTTGCGTAAATAAACACATTCCACAGCTGCTTGGCTGTGACTGTAAACAACATTATCCTATATATCTCTATTTAACCAAAATTAAGCTTCTAGGGGTTTCCACTCCTGGTTAGAGCCACTCAGAAGAACTGTACCATTTCCGAGGGACTGGGAGTCAGTCATTTTAAGACTACCGTCTGTCTCTCTCCCCTCCCCACCACCTAGTCCCTCCCTAGGCTACACAGGACTAGCTTCTTCAGCCGCCTTCCGTGTGATATGATTGGAGTCCTTTTCCCCATTCTGGATGCTCTCTCTAGACCCAGAGCCCTTGCCCGCCATCTTGCCCCAAATGTGGTGCCAGCTCTCCAGGTGTGAGAGTACTAAAGTACTATAGTATAGCAAGATCATCACCTCCCACACCTCCCACACGCTATATATTTTACCTCTATTAATATGACCAGCAGCACCCCATTATTGTTTGGATCACTATCTCTCACTGGAGACTCATACTTACTTTTTCCTAAAACCCTTGTATTTTTCACATATCCTAACTATGGCCTTCCCAGTTGACTTTTTGTACAGCTTCTCATACCTGAAGAGAAAAGGGTGATGGTGTAGACGTCGAGGATGGGGAAAATCAGCCTTTTTTGGAACACTCCCTACGTGCCAGGCGTTTCACATGGACTCAACTACTTACTTCTTACAACCCTATGAAGTGGGTGCAATTGTGCCCAATTTACAGATGTTGAAACTGAGGTTCGGAGTTCTTCGTCTGTAAATGTCCCTCGGCTAAACAGGGGCACGCTTAGGGCTCGAATCCAGACCGGCCTGGCCCCGAAGCCCACGCCCTTGCAGGGACAGCACGGATTCCTCCCCGTGACAAGGGTCTGAGCTGAAGGTGAGGCAGCCAGTCCCCCCGGAGAGGATGTCATCACGCCCCTGCGTTCTCGCTGCCCGAGCCCTGCCCACGCCCACGCGTGGCACCTCCTCCCACGGTCCCGGCCACTGCGGCCAGCACACGGCGAGAGCCCATCACGCCCGAAAGTTCTGTGTCCATCTGCCCGCTTAGCGCGGCTGCGTCCGCGGGGTCCCCCCGGACAGCAGATGGGGGTCAGGGAGCCCGGCCGAGGGCCGTGTTGGAGCAGGCGCACAGACAGAGGACAAAACGGCTGGCGTGGCCGCCGCCTTCCCGCCGCATGCGCCCGCTGCCAAGGGGGCTCGCCAATTAAGCGGCGGCTTGGGGCTTTCAAGCCCACTCATCAGACCTGCCAGCATTTTGAAAAAGGACTTTTTAAACATGCTCTCTCCATTTATTTTTTTAAGCGCATTAAAAGGTTCATTAAAGACCCGCACAGGGTGGAGAAGGCGGTCCCCAGCCTCCCTCCTCCCTCCCTGGGCAATTCAGAACGAGGCCCCCCACCCGGGCCTCAGCTGTCCTGCCTCCCCCGCGGGCAGCCGACCGGAGGGGTTCGGGAGCGCCCAGTCAGCGCGCCTGGGCCACCGGCGGTGCGGGAGTTGATCCCGTGGTGTTGCCAGCGGACGGCTTCGCAGCCCCGCGTCTGCCCACTCTCCCTCGTGTTTGGAGCTCGGCTGGGAAAGTATCAAAGGAAAGACGGCCCCCTGGGAGCCCGTCCCCTCGAGGAGCTCTCCGGAATAAGTGGCATTTGGGACGCTGCAAGGTGGGTCCCCAGAGAGAGCAGCTTTCCCAGCGTGGT